GGACATAAATACACTTTGTCGTAATCGGTTATCGTCTCTCAGAAAGGACGTCCCGAGGACGAGGCTAAAGATTTTTAGGACAGTTTCCAGTTGGTTTGAAGGTGCGAGATGAACGGTTTCGGTTGTCGGTCTTCACCAAAAACCAAAGTGAGATGGCATTTGGGCACCCATTCAGGCGCTGGCTCATTTAAGAAGAACCGTATGAGGTCGCATGAGGTGATGAAGTGTTAAAGTGTTTTACTATGAAATGACTTGTGAGCCTCAGCGTACCACTGAACAACTCGGTCGCCTCTTCTAAATTTCAAACGGGACTGAAATCCGGTTGCCACGCGTTAACTGGCGACACGACACCACCCCAGCCTACAGTCACGAGAGTTAGTCTCAGTGTGATCTCAGGAGTGGCCAAGTCTCTCACAAATCACATCTTTTAAATAGTGGGATTTTCGATGGGGTAGACTTGCAGTTTTCCTTTATAATTTGGTTGTCAAAACCACAATTAGATCTGATAAAAGAACTCTATGCACCCGGTTTTGTATAAGGCAACAAAGGACTGGTCGTTGAATTCTTTCACAATCACAACTCGTGTCTTGTTTGAATGTCATACAGGCTTGCTTGAAAAAAAGTACTCTCGTTCTGGTTGGGATAAACTGTAATTTCAACCTCGCCTGAATTAGTCTCATCTGCACCCCCAGAGGGACTCATACAGTCTCGACGCCGTAATCATTACTTCATATTGCCAGGAGTGCTCTTGAGTTACGGATTTGATGCGATTTATTAAAGGAACAACAAGTAATATTGTCAATTGTAAATACAACTTTGCTTCATCGACGATAACATCAAAGAATGTGGTACAGAAAAGGCATGACTTTCTTTAAAATTCACTTACGCCCTATGGCCCAAGGGCATTCGTGGCAGTGTGGCTTCGGGGTCAATATGTTGAAACTGTGCAATGCGCTACCGCAAACCGGGTTCGAGACCCGCTGAGTTTGCTGATGAGGCCAGTTCAGGCGAGGTCAAACTGCAGTCCCCCACATTCACGATGCGAATACCTTTTGGGAAGCAAGGCTGTGTGAAATTCACAGGAAATGTAAGACCTACTCATATGATTGTGGGAAAATTCAACTAATACTCCTTCGTCATCTTAAACTAAATAGAGTGAATACAGATAAAATATTATACTCGTATTTTGTCATTATAATAGGCTATGCTACTTATATTCTAAATGAGTAGTTTAACTACTATCAGTAGACTTTAAAGAGAGCCACCCAACCGACCAGGGGAAAATTTTCCGAGTATCCATCGAATGTGATATGAGATGTATTCACTCTATTTCGTTTGAGATGAGCAGATCTGACTTTTCCATTCATGTACTTTCATTCGAAATGAAGGTCTCCCTAACAATGTTATCTCAGGAGATTCATCGAAACCAAGTTTCTCGTCGTATCTACAATTTCACAGAGCCTTGCTTTCCCAAAAGTTTTTCTCATTCAGGCACCAGTGTACTGCACTTTCGACCTCGCCCCCAGCGGGAGTCGAACCGTGACAGTGCAGAATGAGAGCTTGACACGTTAACCAGTCGGCCACATTTCCACGAGTGCTCTTGCGTCACAGGGCAGATGCGAATTTCAAGGAAGGTCCGGCATTTGTCCAATATCACATTCTTTGGTGCGATTGTCGATGAAGCAAAGTTATACTTGATTATATTACTTTTTTGTTTATAAGTAGAGTTTCGAGACTATCCAGACTGGAGAACAATTGGCCTGGACAACAAATGGGTGATGTTTTGTGAAAAACTAGAAACAGCCTGCCCACCGTGAGTGTGAGGATTGAGGAGATTAGGTTATTCTCGTCGTAGCGCGTCAGTCGAACGAGAAGGCCCTGAAGCACACCGATCAGCTGGTCGATCAGGATCACGGCCATCTGGCGCTGGACGCCCTCAAAGAACTCCTCAGTCTCGTTGTGAACCTGAGTCTGCCAGGTCGTGTGAAAAAATGTGGGCCGAAATGGAAACGAAAAAAATGGATAAAATAAAAAGTAAAAATTCGCATTGAAGACTGAAATTGTAGATACAGAAAGCAGATGGGTTTCGATGACACTTCGGAGAGACTTTGATTTTGTATGAAAAGTGCATGATGAAGAGATTTATTGGTTGATCTCCCCACGAGACAACAACCGATTCCCGTTGTTGTGCGTCCGTTTGGCCGTTACGCCATTCAGGATCACACAGTCCAGTGAAAACGGGTTAAACGGTTTCGTAACTTGGTCGTGTTGTCAGGACGACCTCGAAGAAGACATCTGTCATAACCGGTGGTCGTGTGAATTTCTTGTGCCAAACCGTGGATTTGGTATAGTTCCAGACACTTGGTGTGATTTCGCTCACGCTCACAATTGATGCTTTCTGCGGGCGGTCTCGATGTCGCTGTGCCAAGTTTGCGTGAGACGTTTCTGTCCAAAATGTGCTAAAAGATGGGTGCGATTGTGCACTAAACCTCCTTCCCGTCAACGTCTTAGACGGGATTCGAACAACAGACATGTGGTCCCTCCTCTTGGCCGGGCGTTGACGACATTATCACGACTTGACAAAGAAATTCGTAGTGAATAACCAGTTTTCGACCAAGCTCTAGAAACGTCATTGTTGCAGAAAAATTCATTTCGTTTGAAAGTGTACGCTTAAGAGATGCGTCGGTCGATCTCACCGGAAGACGACAGCCAATTCGCGTTGTTATGCAGCTGTTTTTCGATGCACTACGACCCTCCGGTTTACGCTGTCCACGAGGCATGCCACCTGCAGTTAACAGGAGAAACGGACCTACCTTTTGTCCCTCATGCCATTTGACGGACTGCGCCACGGTTGGAACCCAATTCAACGAGACTCTAAACTCATTATTCTTCTTTTGCATCATCATCATCATCATCTTGTGGATGTAATGTTCATTTGAGACCTGCAAGAATGAGTTCCACCTCTGAGCATGTTCGTCATATGACAGACGACAGCTTAGCCAACTTTCATCGGAAACTAGGAGATCACGCCGACCCGAAAGTAGTGGTAAAGAGTCAAACGGCTGTAGAACAACGGGACTCAGCCTTCGTCTTCTGGTGAGATCGGCCCACGAGTCACTTCTTCGTGCACTTTTCCACAACATCGTGACAATGCCGTCATGCTTTCTCTCAAAAAAGATAGGCGAATTAATGAAAAATTGGGGCATAAAAACAGTACTTAAAGAAACCCTCACACTTTCTTCTATTATGCCATCTTT